ATATATATGTATGTATGTGTGTGTAATATCAACTTATGCCAAAGCCGAACGCTTAAGATGACGGCTCGAAGTGGAGAGCTGAGGTCTGCTTTCCATGGCTTGCCCTTGGCCCTGGGAAGCTACGTAGATGTCTACGACTTCTTCGCGAAGATGAAGGAGGGGAAAACACTGTTTTACTGGTGGGAGCCGGAGAACTACCGGTGTCTGGGCCGAAGGTTCTGTTTCAAGTTTTTTTGTGTTTCTTGGCCACAAAAAGCAGCCCAGGTTCGACGTGGACAAGGTGCCTCTGCTCTTACCTATGTATAATGCCAGCGAGTGGGCCAAGGAGAAGCGGAGGACGGAGCAGCCCCCGGGGTATTGTCAGCGCGAACCTTCAGGCCAAGGCACCCCGAGTCCACACCTTGGTCGAGAGGTTTGCTCTGGACATTCGGATGTTGGAGGAGCTGAACCAGCGCCTGGCTGAGGGCGGAATCTCGCCCGGTGATGGTCCCGGGGAAGGAACTGCCGTGATCCATCGCGCGGCCTGCGATTGGGTGCGATCCAGCGAGTCTTTGTGGAGGACATGGATTCCCACGACGTGCGACGCGGGGTCCGGTCTTGCTGATGTAGGTGGGCCAGGGAGACTTATTGGTCGAGTTTTTGTCTGGGACGTTGCAACGTCTTTGACTTGTTTTTAGTGTCTGCGACACAGAAACTACTCTTTGGTAGAACGGGCCAGGTGGTCAATTCCTTCTCAGTCGTGGAGACGATGCGGTCGGTTGCAGCGTATGTTCGTCTGGTCGTTTCTCGGAGCCCCTTCTGGACAGCGAAGGCTTTACATACCGCTGTGCCACGTGCCCCCCGGGCACTTCCCAGGAGTTTGCGAACCAAATTAGCTGCAATCACTGTGCCTTGGGTCGCGTAGCCAATCAGGCGGGAGCCACGGAATGCGACCTCTGTCCGCTGGGTACCTTTGCAGACCAGGAAGGCCGCGCGATCTGCGACAGCTGTGGGGATGACACCTGGACTACGAAGGAGCTGGTGGCAAGCGATCAGGACGGCAGCAATCATGGTGGTGCTCA